GTTTTACTGACACAAAACGACCAAGCTGAATCTGTTCATTGATACGATTACCAACTCTGTCTTCATCGGCACTACTATCTTTGACATGACGTTGGTGTCGTCAATAACATGAATATTATAATAAGAATCTAGTTGGTTCTAAAAGGGGGTCAAGTGACAGCAAGTTTACTCAATACATTAACTTTCCCTATTGTGATTTTGCTAATTTTAATAATGCTGCATTCTGAAGACTTTGGGCTGAGTCATAAATAATTTCCGTTTTTGTTTATTAAATTTCTTTTTTTTATATTTATTGTTCGAGTTCACCCCAAGGTAGTAAAGCCACTAAGACACAAGGGGTTACTAGGTGTGGAAGAATTAGAAAAACAGAAATAATACCAAGGAGCGAGAACAAAAGAAGAGTAATCTGGAAGACGGTAGATGGCAATTGACATTGCATTTAAATTTTTGAAGATTAAAATTGTTTGAAGCCGGAAGTGAATTCCAAAAGCCAGAAATAGGACAAAAGAAACTGTTAGCATAGAACTTACGGTTACATGTAGCCAACTCAATTGCAAACAGATATGATCTCGACACCATTCGAGTACTGCGCTTAAATTTTAAATCTTTAGGTACCATAGCGAAGAGTTTATCCGAACAATTACCATGAAAGTATTTATAGAAAAGACACAGCGAGGCAATTAGGACCAATGATATTTTTAATTCTTCTTCGGATTTTATCAAGGAGCTCTAGATAAATAGCAGGAGCATCGGCGACATTGACGAATAGTAGACGTATATGTAGGATAGATTCTGGAGAGAAAAGCTGTCACAGTGAACCAATCATCCTGGCAGCTGACCTAGTAATGGATTCTAGTCATTCTACTTCATGTCAACTGAGAGCGTAAGCTCCAGAAGGCGTAACATGTCACTTTCCTGGACGTTAGTATCAGCCATGACAATGGAAGGCAGAGATGGTTCACTCAGATGATTAATGGAGAGCCGTTTAGTTTTGAAGACGCTAAAATTCTTTTTAAAAAAAAAGTGTAATTATATTTTATTCAATTATATATTCACCATTATCTGCAACGATTGGTTGCCATTTATCAGGAAGTACTTTTGAGTAAAATTCGGCGGATTTTTATGTGGAAAAGTTTTCAAAGAACTCTTGAATCTGGCTTTCATTGGATAAAGTTCTCCCCATGAACGCGATTTGCAGCGATCGAAAAAAGGTAATAATCGGTTGGCAGAAGATGAAGTGAATATGGCGAGTTGGGGTAGAACAGATAAATCGAGTTTCAGAATTCTTTCCTCTGTTATTCCGTCTGTCTGTGACCTTACACTGTCTTGAAGACCAACATTATTCCAATTGATGGGCGTAGGGTACTTTTCGACCAAATTTTTATGGACACGTTGCAGCTACTGGAAACGAAAATGTGCATGTATTGTTTCATTGCATTTTAAAAACTGTAATACTCCGACGATCGCATAATACGAATAACATTACCTTTCTTCTGAGCATCATAGCTTTTGGTATCGGTGGTGGAGATTTATCTTTGTCGATATTCTGCTTGTGTTGTACATTGTCGTATAATATATTTTGGGAACGATAAGTTAGGATGATATATTTGACATGACAACTAGTTCCTCAAAATGGAAATGACTTATAAATCAAATAATATTACAAATGTTATTAAATGAACTAGCCAACCTACTATATGGTTTCGGCTTCCCCATTTCTAGAAATGTAATCAGTTGTTTGAAAAATATCTGACTTAATAGGTAAAGAGGTAGTGTAGCTGTGGCACTGATTGTAGTCATGGAACACGGGCAGGATTTAATACAATCTGACTGTGAAATGATTATTGAGGCCAAAAAGCAGCGGCACTACATATCTGAGGTGGAGACTCTGCTAAGTTTTTTCGCGGACATTATATTATGAATATGTGAATTATGTTATGTCAAAAACATTGGGTGATGCAAAACAGGATCGCCGCCGAGTGAAGAGGAGAGTACCTACCCAACACCGAGGAAGAAAGCAGGGAAATTTAAGCTTAAACTTTTAGCCGATGCTTTTAACTAAAAAATTAAACAGAAAGACAGTTGAGATTTCTAGCACACATAATGAGGAAAGAAAGCTTGGAAAATTTGACAAGCACAGGTCATATGAGAGAGAGAGAGAGAGAGAGAGAGAGAGAGAGAGAGAGATGAAAACAGCGAGATACCACCTAACAAATTTGTGTAGATGGATGGCCAGAACAGGAGTGGGAAGAATGGTAAAAGCTGAACATTTCTAAGAGCCACAAAGGATAGAAAATTGTGAAGAGATCTTACCTGACACATACAGAAGGGTCACGGCACATAGAAGAAGGTGTTAATACCAGATATTTGCAAGTTACCACTGGGTATTAAAAGACAGCAAGTCTTTTCAGGTCTCTAGCACCTTTCTTAATAATCGAATTATAGACCCAGGTATGGGTGTGAACATTTCAGTCTTTCTGTGAATCTGGCACGGTTACAACTATTATCATTGTTATTATTAGTAGTAGTATTAGTATTATTGTATGTACAGATTAATATCAAGTGGATTTCACTGGAGAACAAGCGTGTCTTCTCAATACTCAAGAGCTCTCTTCAGTATCCTAGATGATTTTGATAATACTGTCGTCTGGATCGTTTCAGTTCTTTGAGTTTCCATCTATTCAAACTATGTAAATTTCTTCCTCACGGCTCCCACTGCCAGGGTTACGCTGAAGACATCGACTGAAGAATGTTGGATGTCGTCAAGTGTAGAATCTAATAAACCAGTTTTGTCAATGAACTTTTTAAAAAATCATTTCATCACATGCAAGTTGATAATGTCATTAAGACGCATGGGATTACTGGGAGTGAAAGAGAATGAAAAAACCTTTACACTAAAAGAACAGGTTTCAGTTAGACAGAAGATGGCGACTGGCGTTGCATTTAAATTGTTGAAGATTGCAGGTGGCAACGAAGCAAGAAACCGGAAGAGATTTCCACAGGCGAGAAGTGCGAAAAAAGAGAATAGAACATACTGTTGCATCTTGCAAGCTCAGCGGTGAGAGTTTTTTGGCAATGTAGTAGCATGTTTAAATTCATGCAGACGAGGCACCAAGAAAAGCTCATCAGAAAAATTGCCGTGAAATTATTTGCAGAAAAGACAGAGGGAAGCCGCTCCCCACTAATGAGAAAGTGATTGAAGCCGAGATGTCAGGCCAGGAAGGATTACATTACAGATCCTTCTTTGCATTTTGTCGTGAATCTCGAGATATATAACAGGAGCGCCAGACCAGATATGGCAGCAATATTCAATGCACGGATGAATGGTAGATTTATAAATGAGCAAGATGGTTTCTGCCGAGAAGTGAACCAACCCTCCCAGCAGTAAAACTATTTAATATTATCTCATGTCAGTGGAAAGTGTTGTAACGCACAACATCCTCCCCAGTTGTCCAAGACTTCCAATACCGCAGCTGATCGATGAAGATCGCTTCGATCTCAGATCTGCCTTATCCCACGTTGTAGTTTAAGTTTGATCATAAGGAGGCCAAGACCGAATCGTTGCAGGTATCTTCGTGTTGGGCGGGACCATGCAGGACGAAGATGCACAGGGGAAAAAATGACACTCGAATAAATTGAACAGAGGTAAATACTGTTTTTATATCACTCCTCCGTACAATAATTGGTTTATATGAGAGTTCGCATGTAATTAATTATCAGCCTAAACCGCATCTAAATCGGAAGTGATATTATCGTTGTTGACCTGGTAAAGCTTGGTTTGCTGGTTTGGTAAAGTTTGGCACAAGGCTGAATTCGGAGGCTTTCGTCGGCAGATAATCAAGTGGGCCTCTCTCCTGTTTCTGGTCTCGTCTCCGTCTCTTCTGCCTCTCTTCTCTCTTCGTCGACTCGTCTGCCGAATTCGCTTTGCGCATTTGTATTTATCGACATTCGCCCAAACTGGCGAAATGAGAGAATTCTATAATTAAGGGGAATTGCTCTCTCATATTATTACCTCTCAGTAAATTTCCTCAGTGAGGATGGGTGGCTTATCTACCCTAACATGGTATTTCAACTCAACTTCCGACCAGGGAATCAACTTTTTCGCTTTACAGCTTGATTTGCAGCTGTGTGTCAATCCATATTGACCCCTAAATCTGGGTCGCTTTTCCATTGTTCTACTCGACATACAATTCAAGTCGTTTATGTGTGAATTAAATCCTCAATTCTTCCCACGGGTTTTTGGCATTAATCCTTCTCGTTTCAATGTCTCTCAGCACATAACACTTTCTTTCTACTGATAAGAAAACTTTCTTAGATTTTAACAAAAATTTCTCCCGTTTTACCGCGACAACGACAAATAGTATCACAGCGTTAACTCCAGAAGGTGCAAAGATTTGCTTTTCCGGATTTTAGCATCAGGCACGCTGATGGAAGTGAGAAAAGGTTATCTATGTTGGTTAAATTAAATCAGCTTTTGGGAGCGTTCTGCAATAGTTTCATACAAAAGGTCCTTCGTACTGGAGAAGGGATAAGGCCTAATATTTTGTGTCAGATGGAAACTACAGGGATATATTGAGTAACTCCTCGTGACTGCTGTGTTAATATATCTCTTATTTTTACGATAAGAAATATTTTATTTCTTATTATTACTTATAGTCTGTTTATCAGTATTATTGTTACTGCCGCTATTATTTCAATACTGACTGGCTTTAATGTCTGTAATCAAATGACTAAAAAACCAAAGTACATGTTTAGGAATATGTATTAGCCTTGCGAAGAGCGATGCGTATGTCGTCTGAAAAGCATGTGTAGGGGTATGGGTCTGTCGATCGGTCTATTGGAATAAAAATGTAAATGTGAAGGCTTAGATGGACAGTCTATTTTTGTACGTCTGGTTTATTATATAAATTTTAGTCATTATGTCCATTTTTACTCTCCTTTATACATCAGCATTTACTCATTCTACCTTCTGAAGTACTAATATAATATTCAATTCATTG